TGTATTAATAGTTATATTTCAAAAATAATTAATACACTGATTTTTACTCTGTTATTTTTTGCTTTAATTGTTGTAGGTTTTTTATATTTTAATATTAAGTCTGTGTTCTGTGACTCTGGAGGAGGATTTTAAGTTCTATTCTGGATTTAACAGGAAGCCAATAAAGAGAAGCTAGGATAAGAGATATGATCTTTCTTTTTACTTTTCATCAGAACTCTGGCTGCAGCATTTTGGATCAGCTGAAGGCTTTAAACTACAGTTTGTGCACTTCCTGATAGTAAAGAATTACACTAGCCCAGCCTTGAAGTAATAAATGCATTGACTAGTTTCTCAGGATCACCCCTGGACAGGATATTTCTATTTTTTGCAATATTCTGCAGATGAAAGAAGGAAATAATGGTCTCAGCCTAGCGATCGCTTCTCCTGAAGGAGACCTCATACTGGACTAGAACTGGTGTAAGGGACACACTGGACTGGGACTGTGACCATTGAACTCTCCCTCACTTCCTCATCCCCAATAGAGACCTGAGGACTTTCAGCATCTCAGATTATAAGGTCAAAATCTGATATTCAACATCAAGTTATATTTTTTCAGTTTCAACTTTCATCTTTTCAGTTTCAACAAAGGTTACAAACATTTTGACCCCTTTATTGCTCCGTAGATAACTTTCACAAAAAAGGGAACATTTTTACATTCAGATCAAAAGAACACTCAAACTCATTTCTTAGAAAAGAAAAACTTTTAATAAAGTTCCCTCAATTTCCAATAAACATACACTATAACGACCAAAGTGGTCACACAATGCTTAAGATACAGTTTTTCCAGTAATAGAAAAGGCACATTGTTTACTAGGCTTAAAAAACAAAAACACACAAACATATACTTACACACTTTCTGAATCTGTTATTGCCCCAAAGAAAAAATACATATATGACGTGACTTCTGTGAAACTGACAAATTTGTTAAAAAAAAAATCAAAACAAAAAAACAAAAAGACTCCCTGACCTTTGTTAAAAACAACAAACATGACTTTGCAATTGGTCAGTTTCATTGCATGGGTGGAAATATACCAATATTTGTGTTAAAGTGCTTCAAGCTTTCCTTGAGAAGAAGTGTAATGGGTACAAAAATACCAACATGTGTAATCTAAACTAAATACACATATTTATGTACATCTCTCTGCTTTTTTCCATTTGTCTTTGTGTTTCTGAGTTATGCAGGACGCTGCTTACAGTAGGTTTGATGATGTCTGATTCCCTCGACGTCTGGGGGAATTTCTAAAAGTTTCAAAAGAGGCATCATATCTAGCCTTAGATTTTGTGTTACACATTTGATTGTAAATGTTAGATTAGGACTAAAAACTGAAACATGTTTTAGTTTAAAAAAAATCATAATTCCATAATCCATGTCATCATATTTACATATTAGAACAAAATCTACTTAAGTAAACCCAAACATCCACTGAACTCCCCGACAGTGTTTTCTACCTGGCAGTAAGACCTTACAGACTCAGCGCATACAGCATTGGCACCGTGTTCCATGTTTAACAAACAACAGGTTGTTTTAGCTTCCGTGTCCCCAAAAAAAAAAAAAAAAAAAAAAAAAGAAGCTTGATTTCTTCCCTTGGAAATGGTCCAAAATAAGGCACTCAAAGTGCAGAATGGAGCAATCATGTCGTCATCTGTGCCATCAGCAAAAAGCTGAAATGATCCGATTCCTGCTGAGGAGCATCTAAGCTGTGCTTCCTAAAGAGAACAGAAAAAGCTTTGATCTCAGTT